AATAAAATCAGACATTGTGTTGTTTAGTATATGTGCCTGACAAGTGTTGTTTTCAGTGCACTGGAGGCATTTCTTATTGTATTGATACTGTGGTCATTTATTCAGCTTAGTGAGTAAATGTTCTCTTTCTGCTGTTTCTTTTCAAATCTCAACACATGGGGAAATGTTAAAACCAGACTATTTCCCTTCCTGCAGCGAACATTCATACAGTTGATGCTATAGATGACAAATGCACTGGGAGCTGTCAAAACTGTGGCATTACTCTGCTCTTTATCTTTGTTTTCCATCTTTATTTGTCTCACTTTCCCAAGCTTGTCTTTTAGCACATTATGTTTAACTGTCATCCTGCTGATGGTGCGTGCTCTTTCGTATTTTCTCTTCGACTCTTTCATGGGTTGCCTGTTTTTGTTTGCTGCTTTGTGGTAATTCAATCCTCTTTGCAAAGGGCCCTAGAAATGAAGACGCGGGATAATCTTCTGTTACACCGAACAAGCTGGGACTGGGTTTCAATCAGACTCAACCTGCCCAGGGAATTACAGAGGTGCTCAGCACAGCGCACATGTTGAGCAACTCAGATCTTTATCCGTCCATATGTGTACGTACAAATCTTGGCCAAGCTGAACTTGTCAGCAGTATTCAGAAGAGTAGCCATCAATAGAAATCTGACGTGCCTGAAATCTGCTTCCTGATTCATTACGCTCCATATTTCATATTTCAAGAAGCATGCTAATAGGTCCAAGGATTTTTCTGATGCCTTTTGTGAACAATATTTACTTACCCTCTGTTCAACTCTGTAGAGGATTCCTGATGACAGATCCAGAGCTTTGGATGGATTTGTAGATTGCTCAGGGGTGTGTGTGTGTGTGTGTGTGTGTGTGTGTGTAAAAGTGTGTGTTTTTTTTTATTGAATTTTACCCCGGCATACTTTAAAGATTTAATTTTAGTTTGCAAATTGCATCATGTAAAATACAGCTTATAGCTTTTTACATACATTTATTAATTTTTTGATCATAATATATAATTTTCCACCAAGAAAAACAGCTTGGGATTGACAAAAATAAAAACAATATTATTGCTGTTCATTCAGAATTATTTAATGTTGAATCTCTTTGGCATTTAGCTGCAGTTCTATGATGCTGCTCAAGAAAACCTGAGCTGGAATGAGGGTGACTAGAAGATTGCTCATGTCACGCCAACCACTCAAAAACTCTCAGCATTTCTTTCTTTAATGCCATCTATGTAATTAATTTCAGCCTTTTCTTCTTTGCGGCGCTCCTGATTGTACTTGATTGCACTGATGGGTTTTCCATTAAAAGGGTGCATAAAAAAAATAAAGGAGGACTTCTTAATTGTAAAATACTGGAGGCAGTGGCAAATTTCATTTATGCTAGCCTACCATTGTTCAGAGGAAAAGCTACTGGGAATACCTGACATGACTCATTATCTGCATCCATAAAAGGAATGCTTTGGAAATGATCTTTATTCTAACTTTATTCTGAACCTATCAAGAAAAAAATCTGATCGTTGCAGGTCTGGTCATTTTTTCCAATTTAAAAAAACAAAACAAAACAAAACAAAAAAACAAAAACAAAACATTAAATGAAAATGCAGGATTGGGCAGGGGTCAGGCTTCAAATCAAAGGAACCGCTGTTGGCTGGCATCTCATGTAAGGTTTAATTATTAGATTTATTTATAACAGTCACCTCAAGGTATAAGGTAAAGATGCTGCAATAATAGAGAGAAAACCCCAACAATCAGATGACCCACTCTGAGCAAGCACTTGTCAACAGTGGGAAGGAAGGCTCAGGGAGGGGTGGCCATCTGCTGCGATCAGTTTAGGGTGAGGGGAGGGAGATAGAAAAAAGACATGCTGTGGAAGAGAGCCAGAGATAAATAATTACTGATGAATAAATAGAAAATGGTGTATGAACACATAGAAAGGGAAATGAGGCACGTGAGGAAGAAACACTCATCATGGGAAGTCCCCAGCAACCTTGGACAGTGTAATTACTTGAAGGTTCAGGGTCACCTGAAGCCGTAACTATTTGCTTTATCAAAAAGGAAAGCTTTAAGCCTGAAATTAAAAACAGAAGGTGTCTGTCTCCTGAATCCAAACAAATTCTTTAAAGGAAGTTTTGAGTCACCACATGGAAGTGGCTGGAATTTTTTGGTTTCCCTGCAGAGAAAATGTCTTCAGTTGTGTTTCTTTTACACTGCCTCCCAATGCTTCTGTCTGAATAATGAACATGAGTGATAGAAGAAAAGAGTCCTTATTGCTTTGGTCTGGCTTAGACAGGAGGAGCAGAAATCAATAGGAGGAACCTGTTTCCTTTCCGTCTCCTTGGAAAGTCAAATTCTGGCTTATTGACCATTCCTATTTGCAAGACACTGTGTAACACAAAGCCCAGTCTGCACCATGTCTTCACTTTTATTTTTAAAGAATTTTTCGTGCTGTAACCATGGTAGCCCGAGGCATTCGATCTCAAAGAAGAGAGCAAACAATTGTGACTTGCCATCTTTCTCTTTAAAGTTTGTTCAGTGTGTTTCAGCACTAAGGTGCGTCCACATAGGCTGTGTGGGGTACCAGACAGACTCACTTCACCTATGTCAATGTGAAATTCCTCCCTGTCTGCTACTGCTTATCAGCCTCGGCAAGAGGAGCATGAACAAAAATACCACAAGACTCTTCAGGGAAACTCTGCTGGCCTCACCACATGCATTAGTAGTAACACAGGTCGGCTGGAAAGAAGGAGATTGGGAATATCTGATTGGTATCCCCAATGGCTGGTTGCAAGCTAGAATTGGACAGGTAAAGGAGGAGGACAGGCTGAAAGGATGAGCTGCTGCCCTCATTACCTTTCCTGGCAGAGTGACTGTTTGTTGACTGCTGTGCTGATAGGAGAGGGGTTAGGGTAGGTCCCATTAGAGGACCTGTTTTGATGAAACTCTGTAGCTTTCAGAAAACAAACCTTGTTTTTTCATCCCAGCTGCAAAAATCTAAAGTGGGTGATTTTTAAAATATCAATATATATATATATTACTAGATACATTATATAGCCTTGAAATCTTGTTAATTCAGTTGTGTTCCTTGTGTATGCTGGTACAGTAATGCAGGAGTTAACAGTGTCACTTTACTGGAAGAAGGTTCCTGGTTTAAGCCCTCCAGCCAGGAGAGGCCTTTCTATAATTCCACTCTGATTCCACCCCCCCATTTGCTTGTTAAGTTATCTGGTGAATTTGTAGTTGTCTGACTGTGTTCTTCCTGTGATGGACCGGTGATCTATCCTGCTTCTACCATGCCTCTTTGCCTGCAGCCCGCAGGAGATGGCCCTCAGTTTGATAAGCTGCAAAACAAATTGATCTTTCTTGTGCATTTTTGGTTGTTTTAACACTTGTCTTCACTTTACTTAGGATTTCCTTTTGTCTTATTTTAAGTAAGCCATTAATACAGTGGTTGCCTTAAGCATCTGAGTAAATGGAGGAAGACTGGGACTTTACCCCAGAAGCAGAGGCAGAAGTGAAAATGGCATAGGCACTGGAAATTTTGAGTGCTCACATGCAGCTCCAGCAGGAAATAGTTTTGGGTTGCATTGCATGTGTGAAAATGTCTCTAGAGAGCTCAGAACTTAACCAGTATTCTTGGAATTTTTGCCTCACAATGTGACTTGCTAATCAGATCTAGGACAAGTCCTGAGAATGACAGTGAAAATAACAATGAGTGACAAACGTGGCTATATTTACCTCAGACCTTCTCTGCAGAATAGGCAGCATAGGTGGAAATTGTCATGTATTCTTTAAGACAGTTGAGCACCACCACTTACTGGGGATCCATAGCAAAAGCAATCAATTTTTGTGTCCGTGTGCATTTGTGTTATTATATTTTTTTCATTGTGCAGGATTGCGCGAGTATTGATTCACACTCCCAGGTTTCAAAAGTCACTCCTCTCTGTGCTCGTACGTGAAAAAAGCAGGGAAGGTAGGAAACACTGAGTGAGAGATTGCAACACATCGATTTATTTATTACATTAGCATGCGCAGAATCCATAAAGACATTTTTAAATGCTGTGGTTCAAGCTCTGTAAACCCCTTTTGGACAGATATCCAACAAACCAAAGAGATCTCAGTGGGTTTTGAAGTAACTGCACTGCTGCAGGCGAGCATAACAGAGACCTGACCTAAAAACAGCAGGGATGAGGACATAGAAAGCTATTTCCCAGCAGCACACAGAGACAGTGATTTAACATTCGCAACGGTGGTTAGTAGAGCTCAGAGGGTTTCGTGTCATCTTTTTTTTTCATGGATCTGACAAAGCCAGCTTTTATAAATATTAATGACATTAGAGAACGCTGTCTGTGCAAAGCTCCATTGTCCACTGATCTTAAAAGTTGTGACCTCAACCGCCTAGTGATCAAGAAAGTTCACCTCAACAGGCCCGGTTATTTAACACTCTAATGATCCGGTCTCGCAGTTTGTGCAATAAATAATTTGATGTGCTGCAGTCCAAGCCATCGCTGTGTGCAGCATGCTGGGAAATTTGTGCTGCCTTCACTCAGTCTTTTCCTTCCAGCTGCCACCTACCTGGATCTGATCTGCTTTTATGTCGCAGGGGAGTTTTGCTGGTTGCTGGTGCCTCCTTATTTTCAGTGCAAGTCCAAAAAAGAAGTATGCCAAAAGTAGAAGTTTTCTTTTAAGTTATTGCATAAAAATAAAATATGTGAGTAGCTTTTCTGACTAAATATTTGCATATTTCTAATTATTTTGTCAGGTCACACGGCGTGCTGTTCTTGTGTCTAAAGTGTAAACGGCTGAAAGCTGACTGTCAGCCGTTTACACGAAAGTCTTTTAAAAATTATACTGCCATGCAACTTTACCTTATCTCAAAGCCTGAGGTTAGAGTTTGATGCTGTGACCTAATTTCTTTCCTCACAAAAAAAAAATCCATTTTACTGGATGCCAAAAGAAGCTGAGCACTAAAAGTTGTGTTCTTGTCCCACCACAGCACATGGAGTGCCAGCTGAACCCGTCATCTTCAGTGAGTTATGTGCCCTGAAGGACGAGCCGGGGCCGTGCAGGGCCATAAAGGACAGATACTTCTTCAATGTCGACTCCGGACGCTGTGAACTCTTCGAATATGGAGGCTGTGGGGGAAACCAGAACAATTTTGAGACTTTGGAAGAATGCGAGGAAACATGCCTCGTCTCGGGTGAGTCTAACTTTTTTGGCTGACTAAATGATTTTTTTTGACATTTTTTTGAAAACTCACTTGAGCAGTGAACACAATCAATCAATCAATCAATCAATCAATCAATCAATCAATCAATCAAGGCTTTATTCACCACGTGCAGGTTGCCCTGCAGTGAAATGGGACCCCCCCCTCCCCCGACCTTACACACACAACACAGACATCACATGGGGATACAGGTCGGAGATTGGTAGCGTTACAGAAAAACACTGAAATATACACTACAATGGGAAAGTACAAGAGGAAAAAAGAGACCTCTACTCATGTTGGGCTCCTGGGAGGACAGCATGAGAACAGGAAACAAAAAAACTCCTCTGCACAAAAAAGCACATAAATGTCCAAAGCACAACATTATGGAACACGTGACAAGCCACAGGGTTGGGTGGGGGGTGAGGAGTAATCCGAAGCAAACACAGAAGCCATCCTGCCCAGCGCTACCATTCCAGCACAGGCTCAGACCCGCCGTGTTCCCAGGAGGGAACAAGCATCGAAGGCATTCGGAAAGGGAGGGGTGATGCGTGTGTGCATATCAGTGTATATGTATGTGTGTGCGTGTCCAGAGTTCAGCTGAGACAATGTCCTTCGCCCTGCTAGGCTAAGTAAACAGTCTTCCAGCCAACCTAGGTGGCCTTGCATGGGATTGGAAGGAACAGACTAACCCATCGTTATCAGGGAGTTTTTGCTCGGCTCCAGCCTTGCGACCGCAGCTGGCACCGAAAGGGTATCTGCATGAAGTGATGGTGCTTTTTACTTTAGTGCGAACAGCTCATATAAATTTCAAAGCTGTTCTAACAGTCCAACACTGGTCTCTCAATCTCCCGTTGGAGAGCCGTGAGCTTCTCCATGATGTTATCAAACTTGCGCTCCGTGATGTTGTCATTCTTGTGCTCAAAGAGCCGATTCTGAGAACTCACGACCACAGTGAGCTGCTCCAAGATGTGATACAGTTTGCACTCAGAGGTCTTATTCTGAATATTCATGGCAGCCGTGCGTTCTCCAAGATCTTCTCTGTGCTGCGCTCAATGAGCCCATTTTGAGAAACTCATACCTCGTCCCATCGTTTCAATCCCAGCGGGCAGCCTTGTGGGGGTCTGAACAGCCGGTTCCGCTTCCTTAATTCTTTGATAAGTCAAGGCCAAGCCAGCTCCGATCAGCAAGAACCCTGTTATGTCTGTGAAGGTTCTCAGTCATCCAGGTCATCGTAGTCAAAGGAGCTTGCAAAGAAAAGCGTCTGGACTTCTTTAAGTTACTTGAAGACGTTTCACCTCTCATCCTAGAAGCTTCTTCAGTTCTAAGGTCAAATGGTGGAGAGTCCCAGATATAAACCTAGTGGGAGTAACCCCCCACAGAGGGACAAAAGGACACCCTGATGATCCTCTAATCGGCTGAGCCAAGGTGTGAAACTGGGTGTGGGTCCCAATCAGCCAAAGTTTCGGGTGTGTTCATTGTGAAACCTGGCCCCACCTTATCATGCGAATTCCTGAGAACCCTGTTACCATGGTTCCGAATAGATATCTTCAGCACTCAGGCTCACCCAAGCCCAAACTTCTCATTGAGAAAACGGTGTCAGTTGCATTTAGGGACCAGTTGATCAAATCCATAATTCCTCTTTTAGGTTTTAGAGAACAGACTGTGAGAGAGTGTTCCAGGGAAAAGTAATACAAAAAACACGAGACTAGACAAGGACACAAGAGTCTAAGGAGGGAAGCTAAGGGAGAAGAGTAGGAGGAGGAGGAGAAAAGTGCGACCGCCTTCGTCAAGAGCAAGAGCAGAAAAAAAGGACACCTATGACACACGGATAATTTTTCATAGTGAGCACGCTCAGACCAAGGATCGTGGCACTGTTGTTGTTAGCAAAGGATCATTTTTGTTTTCAAGGACTGCTGTTCCTCATTAGGCTTTATTGCCTCCTTGGGCATAAAATCCTATTATAAAGTCATTCTGTTGGTATGTTGCTAACACGGAACATTGCCAGCACATTAATTCTGAACAGTTTTGCAGAAGCCATCTGCTTAATGTATAAAAGGAAACTTGGAAGATTGATTTAAGTTTCTGGGTCACAATTATGTATAAGTTGACCTTTTTCAATGAAAACTACCCAGCTTGACCCTGAAAAGGTCACTTAAAACATTCACAACTGTCACCTTTTTTACTAGAGGGTAAAGATCTTACAGATATTTGAGAGAAATCCCCATCAGTCAAATTACTATGGGTGACTGCTCGGGGATGGTGGGAAGGAAGAACTTCCTTTTAACAAGAAGAGACCTCCAGCAGAGCCAGGCTCAGGAAGGGCCTGAAGCCAGCTGGGAGGTCTTGGGAAAACACAAAATGTAATGACATTCAGAATTACCATATGAAGATACTGTTAATGCTGAAGTGTATAGAGGATGACCCAAATGCTGCACAAGCCTGCATACAAACTAGAAAAAATAAAACACAACAAAACAAGACTATTTGGGTGAATTTTAATAACAAACAATACCCAGCATAAACAAAGTATGGCTCAGTCCAAAAAACAAACAAAAAACATTTAGGAGGAGTAAAATAAGACCCGTAGACATGGCTGTTTATACACACTGGGGTTGATAAGGAAGGTGGAGACAGGTGGGGAATGAGGCATAACTAAGCGTAATCATGATCCAGGAACTAGTTATCCGAATAAATCAGAAAATCACCGACAACCATTATTGATAAAAACACTGTGACACACAGAGGTAGTGCAAAGATGTGATTTTAGTGGGTCATGGGAAGTCCAGCAAAGCAAAGTCTGTAGTAGCATAATCAAGGAGGGCTCAAAGTCACGTGGCCCAGCCCGAACTATAAGCTTTATCAAAAAGAACAGTTTTCAATTCAATTCAATTTTATTTATATAGCGCCAAATCACAACAAAAGTCGCCTCAAGGCGCTTCATAGATACAGAGGAAAAACCCAACAATCATATGACCCCCTATGAGCAAGCACTTTGGTGACAGTGGGAAGGAAAAACTCGCTTTTAACAGGAAGAAACCTCCGGCAGAACCAGGCTCAGGGAGGGGCGGGGCCATCTGCTGCGACTGGTTGGGTTTTAAACCTAATCTTAAAAACAGGCGAGAGACTGAAGCCAAACAAGGAAACGGCTCCTTAGAAAATTTTAGCATGGTACACTGATATCCTCGTCAGATATGACATTTGAAATTGGTTGTAATTTTTAGGCAGGAGACAAAGCTACTTTGCAAGTAGCTTTTATCACTAAATGGTAATTACATTAATAACAGAAAATCAGGATTATTATTTTTTTTCAAATTGAGAGGGCTGCAAAATATTAGTCAGTATGCATTTAATAACTCCAAATGTGCTATTATTCACATGCTGAAGCATGAATTTGCATCATTAGGCTGTCTATTGTGTGTAAAGGACATGAAAATGAAGGAGCAGCATTGTTCTTGGCTTTAGAAACTAAAAACTGTGCTTGTTTTTCCAAGGATTATAGCAAGAAACATGACTAGGATTAGCAAGGTAAGTAGCTCCATGGGTGCTAAGGTATCGGTACTTGTGCCAGCCACAGAAATCTCTAAAGTATTCATTATTATTAATGCTGAAATATATGTGCCATATTTCACTTTTGCATTCAGGATGTGATGCAAAAAATGTATTGAGAGAAAGCTAACAGAATATATAAGAATCTGTCTATCCTTCAAGCTGGGGTCCTCTACCCGAGGCCTGGGATCTTAAGGGTCCTGCGCAATATCTTAGCTGTTCCTAGGACTGCGCTCTTACCTTCACCCTCCACATCTTCTAAAGTTCTTCGCTGAGCCTTTGGTATTTCTCCAGCTTCTTGTGTTCCTTCTTCCTGATGTTGTTGCATATTGATTCTTTCAGTGCAAAATATTAGTGTTCAAAAACAACTCTCTGTCACACTAAACAGTTATTTCTATAAAAATAAATGCAGTGTATAATTTAACCTTAAGCTAGAAAGCAACATGGGAACACTCAAGTAAAGTACCTTTAAACTGTGCTCCTGAATAGTAGGTAAAAGTGTTTACTGACATTTCCTTATGAGACCACAAAAGGATCTTGTGGAATAAAATAGTGGCTTCCTGCTGTTGCAAGAAGCCACTTTTAGTTGTTTTAGTCTTGAATGGCCTGTGAGCCTGCAGGATAGCTGTTTGTCTTATGCTGGAACTCGGGATTACCAGTTACCTGTAGACACAAAGCTAGTTAGTCCCCTATGCTGGTGTCACAAGTTTGCATTTCAACAGACAAACACCCATTTTTTTATCCTCTTTATATCCCTGCTGTCTGGAAATAATATTCCAGAGCCACACCTCTGAAATCTCTGGAGCATTTTAAAGCCTTACAGGCCTCGTGTACATAGTTAAGGTTTCTAAGCCCAAAAATAGTTTAATTCCCCAAACTGCCAAAGCTGTGTTCAACATCTAAAAGTGAAAGCAAACAGGAATCTGCTTACATCATGCAGTCACGCACCACAAACTGCCGGTAATAGGTTCGTCAGAGGCAATATAGTCATTTTAAATTGCATTTAGATTAGATAAAAACTATTACTGGGAAACGCATGCATCAACCATATATACAGCAATCAAGATTGTACAGAAGGAAGAGGGCAAGAAGGAATGGCTTTTATAATTCAATTCAATTCAATTTTATTTATATAGCGCCAAATCACAACATAAGTCGCCTCAAGGCAAGCAGTGTGCACATAGGCAGTGCTTGTTTATCTGTCTGAGTTGCTCGAATAATTTTAAGATGGGTACAGATTCACCTCCGTCTTGCCGTAAAAGATTTGGGATGACTTTTTCTGGCTCAATTAGAGTGAAATCAACAATCTAGCTAAAAATACTTTTTGTCCCACTGGGTTCTGACAGGAGGGAAGATTTTCTCTATGGTAGCGTTCCCAGGTAAAATCAAAATGCAGATGTAAAATTGTGGATATTTATAACACTGCTGCGGCTATTTCTCTCTCA